CTTACACTATCCTCATTTTTTAAAATTCTTTTTTCTTTTTGCTGTTCTGATTGGGTGTTTTTTGCTTCCTTATATTCCAAATCGATGGTTTGCTTCTTGGCTTTACCTACTTTACTATTGAATCTGTGTAAATTATTCTTTATTTTAGTTAGTGCCTCCTTCATTTCTGGCTGTGCATCCTTCATTTCTGCCTGGTCCTTTTTTATGCTCTTGAAGCCCTCACTAAGTTCACTGAGGTTCTCACTAAGTTCATTGAGCATCCTTATAAGCAGTGTTTTGAACTCTGCATCTGTTAAGGCTTATCTCCATTTCACTTAGTTCTTTTCCTGGAGTTTTGTTCTGTTCTTTCATTTGGAACCTGTTTCTTTGTCTTCTCATTTTGGCTGCCTCCCTATGTTTGTTTCTGTGTATTACTTAATGAGAGGTATGGGGCTAGTTGAGACCAGATGCTGCTTGTTTGAAGGAATATAGGAAAACCTAAAGCAGGATCCAAGCAAGCCAATCTAACAGTAAAGCAACTGCAACAGCTTGGGTGAGCCTGAAAGTTGGGTGGGGCAGGGCCTCAGGGAATCACCAGGGTGGGGCAAACAGTGTGAGCCAAGTTTCTAGAGTCCCAGATATGGTGGCTGTCTGCCACCCCAGGGAAGGGCTCACCAAAGGAGCAGAGGCCTCTGATAGCACATGTGTCCCGGAGAAAGCTGCCTCTCCAGCCCTCGCTCCAATGCCAAACAGCTCAGTTCTTCCCTGTATGTCTCTGGTGCCTTTTAAGCTGCCTCCCCCATGCTGGAGCCTGGAGTGTGTGAGTCTGAGTAAGTCCATGCACGGGCCCTTTAAGAGGAGCTGCCTGGGGCTCCAGCCGCCTCAGCCTTCCTCAGCCTCAGTTCCCACTGGTTTTTCTAGCCAGAAGTGATGAGGACTTCTCTTCCTGGCACTGGAACCTTGAGCTGGGCGCCTGGCGTGGGACAGGGTCCTCTTGGTCCTCAGGGAGGACCTTCTCAGCCGAGGTGTCCTTCTACTTTTTTTCCACCACACATGGGTGTGGGACCAGCCCATCTTGCCTCTGCCCCTCCTACCAGTCTCCATGTGCCTTCTTCTTTAATTTTGTAGTCGTAGGACTTCCAGTCAGCTTGATTTTAGGTGGTTTTGAATGATGGTTGTTCTGTAGTTTAGTTGTAACTTTGATGTGGTTGTGGGAGGATGCAATACTGCCTTTACCTACGCCGCCATCTTGACCGGAATTCACAATTATCCATCTTAAAGTGCACAGTTCAGCCCGGCCTGTGTGGCTCAGTGGTTGAGCATTGACCCATGCACCAAGAGGTCACCAGTTTGATTTCTGGTCAAGGCACATGTCCAGGTTGTGGGCCTGATCTCCAGTGGGGGGCCTGCTGGAGGCGGCCAATTGATGTTCTTTCTCATCGATGTTTTCATCTCTTTTTCCTTCTTCTCTCTCTCAAATCAATAAAGAAAAAAAATAAAAATAAAGTGTATAGTCCAGTGATATTAAGTGTATTCACAATGCTGTTTGTGTAATGTTAGAGATGCTTTAAACTGAGGAAAAATGTTTTTCTGGAAATGAAAATCTCATTGTAGCAGTATCTAAAAATTAAAGCATAGCCCTAGCTGGGTTTGCTCAGGGGTTAGAGCGTCAGCCTGTGGACCGAAGGATTCCAGTCAAGGGCATGTACCTAGTTTGCAGGTTGATCCTTGGTCCTGGTTGGGGTTTTGCAATCAACTGATGTGTCTTTCTCACATAGTGTTTTTTTTTCCTCTCTCTCCCTCCCTCCCTCTCTTCCACTTACTCTAAAAAGAAAAAAAAATCACCTTGGCCAGTTTGGCTCAGTGATTGGAGCGTCGGACTGCGGACCAGAGAGTCCCAGGTTCAGTTCCCGCTAGGAGCATGTACCAAAAAAATAAAAGAAAAAAATCAACAGAGAGCCCTGGCCGGTTTGGCTCAGCGGTTAGAGCATCCCGGGTTCGGTTCCCGCTAAGGGCATGTACCTCGGTTGCAGTTTGTCCCCGGCCCTGCTTGGTCGTGAGGGTGGCAGCCATTCGATGTGTCCCTTTCACATCGATGTTTCCCTCTCTCTCTCTCTTCCTCTCTCTCCCTCCCACTCTATCTGTGCAAAAAATGGAAAAATGTCCTCGGGTGAGGATTAAAAAAAAAAAAAAATCAACAGAGAAAAGTCCTCGAGTGCGGATTAACAACAAAATTAAAATTAAAGCATATATTACACTTGGAAAACAAAGAGTGAAAAGAAAAGGAACTTGCTGCTATCCAACGTATTTTTCTTTCCTCACAATCATGTCTGTTCCAACCATATCCATCAAGAACTGCATACCTTTCTTTTTTTTTTTTTTATCCTCACCCGAGGACATTATTCCATTTTTTGTTCAGATAGAGTGGGTGGGAGAGAGAGGAAGACAGACAGAGAAACATTGATGTGAAAGGTACACATCGAGTGGCTGCCACCCACACGACCCACGCAGGGCCAGGGACAAACCGCAGACGAGGTACATGCCCTTAGCGGGAACCGAACCCGGGTCTCTCTGGACCACAGGCCGACACTCTAACTGCTGAGCCAAATCAGCCAGGGCAATAACTACATACCTTTCAATTAATTTATTTGTTCATTATAAGTTTACTGAGTGACTCTCATGTGCTGGCCCTGCTCTTGTGTCTCAGAATTTAGTGATAAAGAAAAAAATCAGACACCAAATCCCTGCCTTCATGGAGCATGCTTTCTAGTAGGGAAATTAGATTAAGTAAGATAAATAAGTAAATAAAAAGCATGTTAAATAGCTTAAAAGTGCTAAGAAGAAAAAACAAACAGGGAAGATTGATATACATTATTTAGTGTTTTTGAAATTTTATGAGGTGATCAAGAAGGAAGCCCTGCCCTGGCCGGTTTGGCTCAGCGGTTAGAGCATCGGCCTGCGGTCCGGAGAGACCCGGGTTCGGTTCCCGCTAAGGGCATGTACCTCGGTTGCAGTTTGTCCCCGGCCCTGGTTGGTCGTGCGGGTGGCAGCCACTCGATGTGTCCCTTTCACGTCGATGTCTCTCTCTCTCTCTCTCTTCCTCTCTCTCCCTCCCACTCTATCTGTGCAAAAAAAAAAAAAAAAGTGGAAAAATGTCCTCGGGTGAGGATAAAAAAAAAAAAAAAAAAAAAAAAAAGAAGGAAGCCCTCATTGAAACAGTGACTTGTAAACAAAGATTGAAAGAAGCAGGAGAGCTAGCCATACCAATACATGAGGGAAGTGTGTGCTTGGCAGAGGAAACAGCAATTGCAAAGGTTTTGAGGCAGAAGTGTATTCTAGGTCGGCAGCTAGGCCTATCACATAAGAGCAGGAAGAAGGAGGGGAAATAAAGTAGTGGATGAAAGGAGATGAGAAAGCTAATGGGCCATATTCTGTAGAGCTTTGTGGGTTATCATAAGACTAAGCTCTTGCTTGGAGTGAGATGGGAGCCATTAGAGAGTTTTGAGCAGAGGAGTGTTTGTGACCTGACTTGAACAGGAACATTCTTTTGCTGCATGGAAAATGGATCACAAGGCCTGGCCAGTTTGGTTCAGCAGTTAGAGTGTCGGCCTGCAGACCAGAGAGCTCTGGGTTCAGTTCCCGCTAATGGCATGTACCTTGGTTGCGGTTCGTCCCCAGCCCCAGTGGGGGTCCTGTGGGTGGCAACCAGTCGATGTGTCCCTCTTACATCGATGTTTCTCTCTCTCCTTCCCTCCATCTCTCCCTCCCGCTCTATCTGAAGATAAATGCAAAAATGTCCTCGGGTGAAGATAAAAAAAAAAGAAAGAAAGAAAATGGATCACAGGGTGACAGAGGTGGATACATTGATACGACTGAAGAGACTGTTGCAGAAATACAGGCAGGAGATGAGACTATATATTATTTATATATTTTTTTTGGTTAATCCTCACCTGAGGATATTTTTGTTGTTGTTGTTAATCCTCACCCGAGGATATTTTTCTATTAATTTTTAGATAGAGTGGAAGGGAGGGAGGGGGAGTGAGAGAGAGAGAGAGAAGCATCAATGTGAGAGAGACACATTGATTGGTTACCTCCTGCATGACCCCAACCAGGGCTGGGGATTTAACCTGCAACCCAGATACGTGCCCTTGACTGGGAATCAAACCCACAACACTTTGGTCCACAGACCGGTGCTCTAACCGCTGAGCAAACCTACCAGGGCTCGAGGATATTTTTTTCATTGATTTTTTTTTTTTAAGCGAGAATAGAAAGGCAAGGGAGAGAGAGAGAGAGAGAGAGAGAGAGAGAGAGAGAGAGAGAACACTGTGAGAGAGACACATTAACTGGTTGCCTCCTGCATGATTCCGACCAGGGCCAGGGATGGAACCTGCAATCCTTGACTATTCAGTGCATGGGCTGACGCTCTAACCACTGATTCACATGGGCCAAGCAGAATTTTGCATATGCTTTTAAGTAGAGCCAACAAGATGTAAGATGTGAAAGAGAGAGAGGAGTCAAGAATAACCTTATGTAACTCAAAGAATGGAACTGACATTAATCAAAGTGAAGACTGTAGGATGATCCTTCAGGAAAAATATGAGTAGCCCAGTTTGGACATGTCAGGTGGACATGCCAAGCAGGCATTAGATGTTTGGGTCTAGAGGTAGAAGCAAGGTCACGGCTGGAGATATAAATTTAGAATTCATCAGCATAGAGATGGATTTAAACCCAAAAGACTGAGATGACCTACAGAGTGAGTGTCACCAGAAAAGAGTCCACAGTTGGAGCCCCAGAGCACTTTCATATTTTGTGTTTGGGGAGAGGATGAGGAATTAGCAGAAAAGGACTGAGAAGGAACTGCTAGAAAGGAGGGAGGGAAACTAGTCTAGCACAGTTTTCTGAAAGTCCAAGAGAAGAAAGCCTTTCAAGGATGAAAGAGTAACTCAATATTTTTGTATTTTGCATAATGTTTCCCCTATTTGTTTCCCAACCAGTGGTGATCCTTCCCCTTCAGCTAGAAAATGACAGTGTTCAGGAATTTAAAACTTCTTCTCTGGAAGAATTTCATCATAAAGGTGGGTATGTTTATCTGTGAGGAAAAAGTGAGTCTCTTTTGGAGGGACTGAATGTTTAAGTGAAATTGATTTCTAATAACGGATTAAAGGAAAAAACAAGAACTTGGCTTGCCAAGGGGCCCTTTTCTACAAATGAGCCACGTTTCCATAGTAATTCTGATAACCCTAATTATTATTATTTTTTAAAATTTCATTCTGACATATTGTTATAAATACACATGAAAAACAAAGACAGTTTTCTGTGCTATTTAGCTGCTAATGATTGGACAGGGAAAAAAAATAACTGCTTAGATTCTGCCATTCAACTGGGAAATGTGATTACAGTTCAGTGTAATCATTACACTGATTATTAAAAATGACATCATTGTTACTGATTTCTAGCCATTTGTGTTATAGAAAAGCTAAAAGGAGATATTTCTAGCTTATTCTCAATCTATTTTTTTCTTTTCATGTGTTGTGCAGGGAGGCTGGAAATGAAGGGGCTCTTAAATTCACCATGTAGCTACTTATGCTGGTGTTCTATTTTGGATTAACATATAGCTTTCATTTTTATTTTAGAAGCGGAAGGCTCTGATAGCAATCCTTGAAATCTTGATGCCATTACTATTTTCTACAATCATAATGTATCTTCGTTTCAAGAGTGTACCAACAAGTATGCCTCCTTCCCACTATAAAGTAATTGACATCAGTATACTGCCATTCTTCTATTCTGTTCCTCTGAAAAATAGATTTCAACTCATTTACATCCCCTCCAAAAGTGAAACTTCGAAGGCTATCACCGAAATGGTAAAAGACACCTTTGACGCTGATTTTGAAGGTTAGACATAAAGATGGGATAAGGATAGGGAGAACATTTAATAAAATATAGTTTGAAGTTTTTTCCTGAGAATTTTTTACAGCAGTGATTCTAAATCTGGGGTCTCCAAGTTCTAGAGAGTTTGCAGAGGGGATGTTTGGGGAGAAAGCAGTCCACGATTATATTTTTATTTCAAACAACACACTGGAGACTTGTACATTTATGTCACAAGCTTCAGGGGCAGTTAGAATGTTAACTATTTGTTTTTAAATCATTATAGTGACTGTTTTTTTGTGTTTTTTTTTGTTTTTCCCAGAAGCTCTGATTCACAGTTATAACATGTCTGACTAATACAAAATGGAAAACACAGAGGTTCTGAATTTGCTTCTAAGTGGTCTCTCTCATTCTACTCTTGTCCCACTCTAATCTAGTATCTCTATGGAGCCCCTTCAGTGGTTTCCCATTGTACAGAGGCAACCAGACCCTTCTCCAGGGTCTGGCCCTGCTTCCTCTCCAGTCTTAGCTACTTCAATTCTTCCTTGTGTTCCCACACTCTGGTCATGTTGTCACCGTTCAGTTCCTAGAATCTCTGAGCCTTTCCTCCCTTCTAACAGAAAGCTTTGCCCCTAGCCCTTCTCGTGGGTTTCTCCTTATCCTTCAGGTTTCAGCTGAAATGGCCCTTAGAAATGCAGCTAGGCAGTGCCCTCGGGGCCCCCCAGATCTGTCTCTTGCTCCAACAGTGTTTGGATGGAACAGACCCAGGGATGTCCCCTCTTCCAGACTCAGGGACGCCCTCTCTTCCAGACTCAGACCACCCTCTAACTCTTTTCCAATCATCACCGTCGGAACTATCTCAGCCAACCTCAGCCTCTGGGACCAGCCAACACCGTTTTTTGACCTTAAGTCCTTATTGCTGAACAACCATGAGCTCCCAAATTCATCAGAATTATTCTACTGAGATGGAGGCTGCCATCAACCGCCTGGCCACCCTGCATCAGCCAGCCTCCTACACCTATCTCTCTGGGCTTCTATTTTGACCGCAATGATGTGGCTCTGGAGGGCGTGGACCACTTATTCCTCTAGTTGGAGGAGAAGTAAGAGGGTGCTGAGCATCTCTTAAAGCTGCAAAACCAGCACAGTGGCATGTTCTCTTCCAGGACATGCGGAAGCCTTCCCAAGGTGAGTGGGGCAAAACCCAGGACGCTGTGGAAGCCACCATGGCCTTGGAGAAGAACCTGAACCAAGCCCTTTTGGATCTGCACGCCCTGGGTTCTACCTGTACAGACCCTCATCTCTGTGACTTCCTGGAGAACCACTTCCTGGATGAGGAGGTGAACCTAATCAAGAAGATGGGAGCCACCTGACTCACCTCTGCAGACTGGCTGGCCCCCAGGCTGGGCTGGGCGAGTAACTCCTGGAAATGCTCACCCTCAAGCACCACTAGGAGCCTTTGGAGCCCAGAGGCCTTTGAGGGACCCCTGTGCATTCCCCTGGTGTCTGGCTTTCGCCTGAGCCTCTCTCTCCCTGAAACCACTAGCCAGTCTTTTAACCACCCTGGAGCCCTCTCCACGCATTGGACCAAATGGAAACGATAAAGCTTTTTGCAGCAAAAATGCAGCTAAAGAGGTATTAGATTTCTAACCTCTCCCTTCCTCTTGTTCACAGACCCCTGTTGGATATGTTCATAGCATTTTGATAAATGTTTAATTACATTGCCACTCACTGTTTTCTGTGCATTGTCTGCCTTTCCCTGCTAGGCTCCACTTCCACGAGGACAGAGGACAATGCCGGTTTTGTTCATCACTGTGCCTATTACAGTGCCTGGCACACAATAGTTGCTCAATACAAATTTACTGAATGAATGAATGCAGTTAGGTAGATAAAAATTTTCTAAATGTTGTGTCCACAAAAAGTGGAGTTAATTTTTCCTAATTACTATAATTGTGATATATGCTTTTGTAAAAGTATTCTAATAATACTTAAAGTAGGAAGTGAAAAGAAAGAGTCCTCCTCTCCCAGCTCTGAGTGCCACTCAATGGAGACAATTCTTTAAAGGCCCTAAGTGGTAAATGTATAGGAACCACCATTTTGAAAGTTGTGCTTATGTTGCCTAGTCTCCTAAAATAATATTCTAATTCAGCTACCTTTTATAAAGATGAGATTATGAAATTTAATTTTTTCCCTTTACTGATTTTTAGAGAGAGAGGAAGGGAGGAGAGAGAGATAGAAACACCAATGAGAGAGAACATCAATTGGTTGCCTCCTGTATGCCCCCCAATTGGGGATTGGGTCCACAACCTGGGCATGTGTCCTAACTGGGAATCAAACTGGTGACCTCTTGGTGCATGGGTTGATGCTCAACCACTGAGCCACACTGGCCGGGCAATGAGATTATAAAAAAAACCCTGTGAAATCTTCTCTTGGGATGTGATAAATTATATAAGACATGATGATAAAGGACAAGATGTGACATGGGGGGGGGGGGTGAAGGGTTTCAGGGTCAGGGGCAATCTAGGTAGAGGACAGTGAGTGGCCAAGCCCTGAGGTGTTTGAGTATCTGAAAGTCATTAAGTGAGGCTGAAGTAAATTGAGAGAGCTGTTTGAGATGAGGCTTGAAATGTCTTTAGGAGCCAGTAATCCAGAGCCTTGTGGGTCTTGTTCAAGTGTTTGGGTTCTCTTCTACATGCAAAAGGAGAAAAGGTAGTCACTGAAAGTTTTTTTTTATCCTCACCTGAGGACACTTTTCCATTTTTTGTTCAGATAGAGTGGGAGGGAGAGAGAGAGAGAGAAGCATTGATGTGAAAGGGACACATTGAGTGGCTGCCACCTGCACGACCAACCAGGGCCAGGGACAAACTGCAACTGAGGTACGCCCTCCTAGCAGGAACTGAACCCGGGTCTCTCTGGACCGCAGGCCGATGCTCTAACCGCTGAGCCAAACCGGCCAGGTCATCACTGAAGGTTTTAAGGAGAGAGGTTGTACGATGTAATTTGTTTTAAAAGAGATTTCTCACCCTGGCTGGTTTGGCTCTGCGGTTAGAGCGTTGGCCTGCGGTCCAGAGAGATCCGGGTTCAGTTCCCACTAAGGGCGCATACCTTGGTTGCAGTTTGTCCCCGGCCCTGGTTGGGTCGTGTGGGTGGCAACCACTCGATGTGTCCTTTCACGTCGATGTTTCTCTCTCTCTCTCTCCCTCCCACTCTATCTGAACAAAATATGGAAAAATGTCCTCAGGTGAGGATTAAAAAAAAAAAAGAAGAAATGATTAGTCAGAAGCCTTCCTGCCTCTTTTGTATCTTTCTCAATCAGTAGTTTCCCCCTCTCCCTAAATCTTCAGTCTTTCAATCTGTACTGAATTTCTCCTTCACTTTCAAATAAACTTCAATCACCTCCATTTTTCCCCCTCACCAGAGGACATTTCTTTGTTTTGCATTTATCTTCAGATAGAGCAGGAGGGAGAAAGGAAGAGGGAGAGAGAGAAAAAAACATCGATGTGAGAGAGACACATCTAGTGGTTGCCACCCACATGACCCAAACCGGGGCCGGGGACAAACTGCAACCAAGGTACGTGTCCTTAGCAGGACCTAAACCCGGGACTCTGGTCCCCGGGCCGATGCTCTATCTCTGAGCCAAACTGGCCAGAGCCAATCACCTCTATTTTTAAAGAAAACATTTCTTATTCTGTTTTTCCTTAAAGATCCTGCTCAGGCAATTAAATATTTTTCTTTTTTTAAATATTTTTGGTACGTTCTCCTAGCCGGAACTGAACCCGGGACTCTCTGGTCCACAGGCCTATACTCTAACTGCTGAGCCAAACTGGCCAGGGCTAAATTTTTTTCTTGATGAATGTCCTGAAAGATTATTTCTGTTTTATTACTTCCCACTCATTTTTTAAAACATGTTATCTATGTTCTCCCTTCAGTACTATGCTGATATTTGCTGAGGAAATGTTATTAATGTCTGGCCGGTGTGGCTCAGTGGTTGAATGTCGAACCATGCACCACGAGGTCGCCAGTTCAATTCCTGGTCAGGACACATGCCCAGGTTGTGGGCCTGATCCCCAGTGGTGGCCATGCAGGAGACAGCCGATCGATGCTCTCTCTCATTGATGTTTTTATCTCTCTCCCTCTTCCTTCCTCTCTCTAAAATCAATAAAGGGGGTGGCGGGAGGAAAGTAGTAACATTCTGAAAAAGAAAATGTTGTTAATGACTTGATAATTGCCAAATCCAGTACTTTCTTTCCAGTCTTCATTTAGTTTTTCCTACTGTAACAGGGTTGCTTCCATTCACTTATTTGGAATTCTCTTCTGCTTTGAATCCTGTGATACTATAATCTTTATTTATTTCTACCTCCCTGCTGTTTCCATTGCAGTCTTTTTTTCTCTGGCTATTCTCTGGAAGAGTGATGCTTGTCCATAAACAGCTCCCTGTCTTCCTTTCCTCTTCTCTCTCTCTCTCTCTCTCTCTCTCTCTCTCTCTCTCTCTTTTTTTTGTATGTGCCCCTAGTGGGAACCGAACCCAGGAATCTCTGGTCTGCAGGCTGATGCTCCAACCACTGAGCCAAACTGGCCAGGGCTCCTCTCTCTTGCCTTATTACAAAATGATACATGAAAACAATACAGTATTTAGGTAAAAAGTTGAAATTCCCATCCCAAATCCCAGCTCCCAGAAGAATCTCTTTGTTAATGATTTGGAATGTATTTTTCTGGGGTTTCAAAATTTAGCAAGAAACCCTTAAAATTTATAATAAATACAAGAATTCTTTGCATTGAAATTTTCAAACCATATAGAAAGATAAGGAATAAAAATTAAAATTTCCACTTCCTGCCATTCCCCTAAGCAAATCCTCCACCCTAAAAATAATGACAAACAATAATTTGACAGTCCCTTCCAAACTGTGGTAGACTTATATTTTTTTCTTCCCAGCATCTATTCATTCTTTTGATATAAATACAACCTGGGGGCTTATTTTTCCTTGGGGCTTGATCCCTTTTCCACTCCCAGCCCTCTTTTTACAATTTAGTTAAAAAAAATTTCTCTAGCCCTGGCACAGCAATTGAGCATCGGCCTGTGGACCAGAGAGTCCTGGGTTTGGTTTCCACTAGGAGCACGTACACCAAAAAAAAAAAATCCCTGCAAAGAAATAAAACTAGACCATCAACTTACACCATACACAAAAATAAACTCAAAATGGATAAAAGACTTAAATGTGACCTGTGAATTCATAAAAATCCTAGAAGAAAATGTAGGCAACAAAATTTTGGACATTATACGCAGCAGAATTTTCACTGATACATCACCTAAGGCAACGGAAACAAAGGAATAAATGAACACATGGGACTACATCAAACTCAAAAGCTTCTGCACAGCAAAAGAAACAACCATCAAAATGCAAAGGCAACCCACTGTGTGGGAGAGCATCATTGCCAATGATACATCAGATAAGGGGTTAATTTCCAAAATATATAGAGTACTCATATAACTCAACAAAAGGAAGACAAAGAACCCAATTAAAAAATGGGCAGAGGAACTACATAGATACCTCTCCAAACAGGATATACAAATGGCCAAGAGACATATGAGAAAATGCTCAACATCACTAATCATCAGAGAGATGCACATTAAAACAACAATGAGGTATCACCTCACACCTGTTAGAATGGCCACCATCAACAAAGCATCAAACAACAAGTGTTGGTGAGGGTGTGGAGAAAAGGGGACTCTAGTACACTGCTGGTGGGAATGCAGACTGGTGCAACCACTATGGAAAACTCTATGGTGTTACCTCAAAAAATTAAAAATTGAGCTTCCATTTGACCCAGTGATCCCACTTCTAGGAATATACCCTAAGAAGCTTGAAACACCAATCAGAAAGAATATATGTACCCCCATGTTCATAGCAGCACTATTTACAATAGCTAAGATCTGGAAACAGCCCAAGTGTCCATCAGTAGACGAATAGATAAAAAAGCTGTGGTACATATATATATACACAACAGAGTATTATGCAGCTGTAAGAAAGAAAGATCTCTTATCCTTTGAGACGACATGGAGGGACCTGGAAAGTATTATCCTAAGTGAAACAAACCAAGCAGAAAAAGACAAATACGCCCTGGCCAGTTTGGCTCAGCGGTTAGAGTGTCGGCCTGTGGTCCGGAGAGACCCGGGTTCGGTTCCCGCTAAGGGCGCGTACTTCGGTTGCAGTTTGTCCCCGGCCCTGGTTGGTCGTGCAGGTGGCGGCCACTCGATGTGTCCCTTCACGTCGATGTTTCTCTCTCTCTCTCCCTTCCTCTCTCTCCCTCCCACTCTATCTGTACAAAAAATGGAAAAATATCCTTGGGTGAGGATAAAAAATAAATAAATAAATAAAAGAAAAAGACAAATACCACATGATCTCACTTATTTGTGGAATATAATGAACATAACAGTCTGAAGAATAGGATAGACCCAGAGACGTGGAAGTAGGATACAGACTGACAGCTCTCAGAAGAGGAGGTGGTGGGGGGAGGGAAGAGATAAACCACAGAACTTATATGCATGTATGCATTACCAATAGATATGGACAACAAAGCTGGGGATGGGGAGGAGGGTGTCAATGGGGTAAAAAAGGAGAAACATCTGTAACAAAAATAAAATAAAAAAATAAAAATTCTCAGTATATTCAGAAACATTTGAGAAAATATTGCCACTCTAAAACAAAACTGGACTCCTATGAAAAGGAAGCAATAAAAAACAAAACAGAAAGAGGACTTAGAAATTAAAAATGATTATCAAAATAACTTTCTGGAAATAATGGAATGGAGATGTCTGAAGTCCGATTAGTAATCCTGAAGATAAAGCCAAGGGAGCCTATGAGAATGTAAAGCAAAAGGACACAGATATGAAAAATATGAAAGACAAGGTAACAGACATGAAGGCCATATCTAGAAGTCCCACCTTCATCTGTTAGGACTTCTAGAAGAAAGAAAAAGAGACAACTGAATGGAGAAAAACAAAGCAGTATAGAAAAGATTTCTGAAAGTACACCTGTGTTTTCAGATTGAACTAGTTCCAAGCAGGTAAACAAAAAATGGCAAACTTGAATACATATTAGTGACATTTCTGAAACCATTGATCAAGAGTAGAAGTTCTACAAGCTTTCAGAGAAGGAAAAATGGTTGCCTACAATAAATCAGACATTACACTCAACAACACTGTATGCTAAATTATATTGTAATGCCTTTGACATTCTGAGGAAGAATTGTCTTCAGGGAGGATCAAATGTTCAGTCAAATATGAGCAGGATTGACTACAAATTCTTTTTCCCATCAGATTATCTACATTTTTTCATGATTTTGTTTCTCACTTCTGGTTGTTATGATTATGAAAAGAAGGCTGAAATGGAACCATAGATATATCCTCATTAACATGGACAAGTATTATGTTCCACCTACAGTAGCCCTTAGTGCTATCTAGCTAAGAAGGACTAGAATACAAGAGCTTTCAGAACTGCAATGAGATTTAGACCATTACCATTTGACTTTGTATTCTCATTGCCTAGTATTGCTCTGGGCATGTTGTATGTGCTCATACGTTTATAGAATGAGTGAGCAAATGAGATCTGCCACCACTCAGCAGAAAAGTAACACTCCTAAATCTCCTTAGGCAGAAAGGGGGTAGTTGGACAGCATTTGCCTTCCTGCTAGCCATTCACTGATTGGATTTTTCTCTCTGTAGTTCTAGGCTATCCTTCAGTGCCTTCTTTTGAAAATTACATAATTCAGAATCCCAAAGCTTTGCATGTATTGGCTGGAATTGTTTTTGATCATAAATTCAATGACAGCAAGGAATCCTTGCCACTTGAGGTAAGAACATCTTTTCCGTAATAATCTTTTCGTCCTACCCAGCCTTGAACATGAGTTCATTAGGAATCTTGTTACCTGGGTGGCCCCTCTGCTTTCCTCTGTGTCAGCTTTGTCAGCTGGCAGCTGCCATCTTATTTCTAGAAAAGATAAGAGAACACTCCTGATTTCACATCTTACAACCTGGACTTTGAGGTCCATTTCAGTTTTCAGATTCTTTAAAAGAGAAGACTTGTTTGGAGTGAACTCTATCCTGAGAGTCTAGGACAGCATATGTTCAACTGCTTCATTATAGAAGCAAGCCCAACACTGAGTCCCAGCTCTGTAACTTACTAGCTGTGCAACCTTGGGACAGTTACTAATATTTCTGGGCCTCAGTTTTTTTATCAGTGTAGTAGGGTTAAAAGATGTTCCTAATTCATAGAGCTAGGAACATCTATTAATATAGAGCTGTTGTGAGTATTAAATGAATTTACACCTGTAAAGTGCATAGAACAGAGCCTGAAAAAGAGGCATTCTCCAGAAGGATTAGTTATTGTCATTATTACTAATCCCACAGACTTCAGACACGGTTTGTCTGTTTGCTTAATTGTTTAAGGAACAGGTGGAAAGTAAATAGGATTATTTGGTTTCTGTTTGAGGATGGGAAAACCACTAATATACAGCTTTTGTTTTGTGCTGTACAGTCTACCTAATTTTTTTTGAAGGAAGAAAGTAATAAAATATTTTTGTACAAAAGCAGCTGTAGTAAGAGGTGGAAGGGGCCGGTCATCATGTTTCCCTTGAGGCTCCCAGCATAAACCGAGGGGGCAAGAGAATTGCAAGCACTGGGACACCAAGTCTTTGGTTGTAGGAAGCACTTTTGGCTACTCTTCAGGAATGGGAAAGACGTGGCCCAGTGAGAGCCTCTATCTCAGAGCTCTACTCAGGGTCCCCCTCTCTCCAGAGGCTGGTATGGGGTGGCTTTAGACTTCTGCTGCATGACTTGGTGCACCAAGACCACACACCACCACACCACATTCACCCAAGAAGTGTTTTCAGCATTGCATAGGTTGGAGTAAAATTGCAGAGTGGTTCCAGGGGGTGTCCATGGACTTTTCTGGGCTTCCATGCAGTAAATTCAGAGAGATGGTGGAGTTGCAGCATGAACTGGTGCCACATCGAAGGACACAGGCAGACACTAAGACTAGGAAGATGGCTACTGCACTGAGAGGGCCAGTGCAATGCGGAGCTCTACTGGGCCTCTGTGGGAGCCCTCGATGCAGAGGCTGTAGACCCAGGAGACTGCAGCAGGAGATGGCAGAGGGCCAGGACGCCAGAGGCTCCAGCCACAAAGTAGCAGACAAAAGGGGGCTGAGAGTCGGGATAAGGCCAGGAGAGATTCAGAGCAGCTACACCATACAGAAGACAGCTGCCCCTGAAGGAGCCTTGGAAATTGTTGGAACTAGCATGGGATGTTGATAGACGGAGGAAAACATGTTAATAAAACAACCAACAACACTTTTCTTGCACTTACTAGTGTCAGACACATCTCAGGCACCATCTCACTTGGTCATAGAGTCCCTCTGAGGTAGGTATTGTTAACATCATTCTCATTTTACTGAGAAGAAAACTGAGGCAAGAAGATTAAGTGAGTTGCCCAAAGTACCATAGCTATACAGTAGGCGATTTGGGTGTTGGATCCAGATGTGCTGGCTCCAGAGCCCAAGGTCAGAACCGTTCTGCAGCACTCCCTTCCAGAAGGGGCTCCATAGCCCCTCCTCTGTTTCCCAGGATGTTTGCAGCGGAACACAGGGAAGACCACTGCTGTTCTATGGGCCCCAGAGGGATGTTTTCTGGTGTGGGCAACTTTCCTCTGGTCACAGCTGATGTCAAGCAAGCATATCTTTTGCTCTGTCTTGTGCCTTTTCTGAGTTTCAGGATCTCATGACCAAATTTGTTTTTTCATTATTCTTCATAGGTTAAGTATCACTTGCGCTTCAGTCACTTTCAGAATTATTTATACCCAAGGCTAATATTTTATGACGAGGACTTAGCCGGCTGGAGCACAGACCGTCTTTATCCTCCTAATCCAAGCCAAGAACCCCGGGAATCTCAATATGATGATGGGGGATACCCTGGTGAGGAAGCCTTATGTGTGTTACCATGAGCTTGGTTATTTTTGTCCTGCTACACATATTTGTGATGCTATTTTTGTTGTTTTTGCTGTCTGAATACTTGCTAAACTAAAATTTCAAAAAAGGTTATAGCAGTTACATTTAGAAATGTGGTATTCAGTAAAATACTTACATTCTAGAGTAGATTAAACCAGCAGTTCTTAATTTAATTGTGTATTAACAGTGATACCTCGGTTCTCGAACGCCTCGGTTTTCGACCAAATGGAGATTCGAGAAACTTTTGTCTCGGAATCCGAACAAATATTTGGAACTCGAACTTCCGAGATGAGCCGAGTTGAGCCGAATGGCGTTCATTCGGCCCAGCGCGCCTTGCTTGCGTCATCAGTGTGAGTGCAGAGAGAGAGTCACGCTTTGTGGAGTCACGCTTTCCTATTGGGTTTCATTGCTTTGGTTCTCGAACAATTCGGTTCTCGACCGTCCTCCTGGAACGAATTATGTTCGAGAACCGAGGTATCACTGTAATAGTATTGAATTGTTCGAGGGAAGGATTCCAGCAATTTTCAGGAACAAGCAGTGTGAGTCCCTCTTTTAAGTTTCTGTTTGTAAAAATGTACATTCTCTGGCCTGGCTAGTGTGGCTCAGTTGGCTGGAGCATCATCCTGGACACCGAAAGGTCATGGGTTCGATTCCTGGTCAGAGCACATACCTAGGTTGTGGGTTCAGTTCCTGGTTGGGGCACGTATGAGTGGCAGCCAATTGATGTTTCTCTCTCACACATCAATGCTTCTCTCTCTCACACACATTGATGTCTCTCTCTCTCTCTCTCTCTCTCTCTCTCTCTCTCTCTAACAAAAAATGTATATTTGCCTTCAGCTTTCTGCAGACTATGGGAGAGCTAGTGGGACACCATGGAGATCTACTTATCCTCTCTCCTTTGCAATAAATGTCATTATTTCTGACTGAAGGCCCACAAACCAATCCTCTCTTGAAGGACTCACGCTCTCCACTTCACTAGATTTTTTTGTGTGTCACTATGAGACATTTAGGGTGACCATCCCAGAGAACTAAGTGCTCTTAAAACTTTTTTTCTTTATTGATTTTTAGAGAGAGAGGAAGGGAAAGGGAGAGATAAAAACATCGATGAGAGGGAACATTTATTGGCTGCCTCCTGCATGCCCCTCACTGGGGACTGGGCCCACAACCTGGGCATGTGCCCTGACCAGGAATCAAACCAGGGACCTCTTGGTCAACGCTCAACCAATGAGCCACACTGGCCAGGCAGAACTAAGTGCTCTTAGAAAATGAAGCTGACAATCTGCACCTTGTTGTAGAATGACCACACAATTGATTTAAAGCCCTGGCCCAGCAAGTCCACCAAGTGGGAATCCCAAATCCAAAGGTTTATTATAGTCATATGATTGAAGAAAATAGATCAGCAGTTCTGCAGTGTGAATTCTCCTATATATATTCAAGAATATGGCCCTGGCTGGTTTGGCTCAGCGGTTAGAGTATCGGCCCACAGACCAAAGAGACGTGGGTTCGGTTCCTGCTAAGGGCATGTACCTCAGTTGTGTTTGTTCCTGGCCCCAGTTGGGGTTGTGTGGGTGGCAGCCAGTCGATGTGTCTCTCTCACATTGATGTTTCTCTCTCTCTTCCTGCTGCTCTATCTTAAGATAAATGCAAAAATGTCTTCGGGTAAGGATAAAAAAAAAAGAAAAAAAAAGAATACTTAACAGTCCTCATAATTTTATCATCAACAATATATTCTCCCTTTTTCATCCCAACAGATGTGGAGGTCTGCCTAGGTCTAGGCCATTGGAAGACTTTAGTCATTTCTACTCCAATGCTGATATACTCCACCCTGGCTCTGCCCATATGGAGGGCCAGTAATGCTCACTTGAAGGTGGGGCCATTATCTTTTAGAAGATTCCAAATCCAGGGATCTTTGCCTTTCAACCTGCTTTTCTTGAAAGCTGGCCTCAAGACACTAACCACATGGTACTTTTAAAATTTTTATTTGTTAATTGATTTTAGAGAGAGAGGAAGGGAGAAAGAGAGAAACATTTATTGTTGTTTGACTTATTTATGCATTCATTGGTTGATTATTATATTTTATGTGTTCTGACTGGGGATCGAAACCTGCAACCTTGGTGTATGGGTTGACACTCTAACTAAATGAGCTACCTGGCCAGGTCCCAACCACACTGTATTGAAATAAGGGTTGATTATGGTAAAGACTGTTATTGAATCTTGGCAGCAAAATCCAGTGATCATAATTCTTGTACTACAGCAGTGATAACTCAGAGACAGCACAGCAGATGAGGGTGGGCTGTGTCTTTCAAGTACTTTGCATTTAAACATCTCACAGGTGCTGGATGATCAAAACTACAGAATGGCCCTGGCTGGTTTGGCTCAGCAGTTAGAGTGTCGGCCCTTGGACCAAAGAATCGTGGGTTCAATTCCAGTCAAAGGCACGTACCTCGGTTGCAGTTTGTCCCAGGCCCTGATCAGGGTTGTGTGGGAAGCAACTACTTGATGTAGTGCTCTCACATGGAGGTTTCTCTTTCTCCCTCTCTTTCCCTCCCCCACTCTATCTGAGATATATGGAAAAATGTCCTCAGGTGAGGACTAAAAAAACAACAACAAAAAACTATAGAATGGGCATCCTTTTTCTGAAGCCTGAGTACTTAGGAGAGAAAATGTGGCCTTACCCTGGGAGATTGTTATATTGGATAGCCCTTGTTTTATCTGCATAGGACCCCTTACCCTATTTTCTGATAAAAGACACCATCACTCAGCTACAGGGGTTCCACTGTGACTTTCTGCTCTTTCTCTCATATTGTAGCATGTGGACTATAGGGATGCCTCTCCTACTTCTGTCTATATGAATGACTAGTCTATATGAATGATTATAGTCTTTATGAATGACTAGCCATGATCCATTAGGATTACCCATTGTTTTGTATCTTCAGTATTTCTTCTTTTTTTTTTAACCCTCACCTGAGGACATTTTTCCATTTTTTGTTCAGATAGAGTGGGAGGGAGAGAGAGAGAGAGAGAAGCATCAATGTGAAAGGGACACATTGAGTGGCTGCCACCTGCACGACCAACCAGGGCCAGGGACAAACTGCAACCGAGGTACGCACCCTTAGCGGGAACCAAACCTGGGTCTCTCGGGACCGCAAGTGAACGCTCTAACCGCTGAGCCAAACCGGCCAGGTCTCTTCAGTCTTTCTTAATCTCTTATGCTTGATATCCACTATTTTCTCATGTAGGATACAGTGATGAAGGCTTCCTGGCCATACAGCATGCAATGGATAAAGCCATCATGCAGCACCATGCTCTCAGTGAGACGATCAAAATGTTTGAGAATCTCAAAGTGTTTCTGAAGAGATTCCCACATGGAGCCTATGTCCATGACAACTTCTTCTTGATCCTTCAGAATGAGATGCCTATTCTCCTCATGCTCAGCTTCATCTGCATCATGCTTATGGTTATCAATTCCATTACACTGGAGAAAGAGAGAAAATTGAAGGTAACTCCATCTATGTTGGATGCATGCTTCTCCCAGGACAGAAATGTAAGGGAGCTGCTAATGAAAAATGACCAGAGTAGGAATGAGACCAAGGCAGGTAAGAAGTTGCTTCAATATCAGAATGACCTCCAAGTTGAGTTGGAACTTGGACGTTCTTTCATCATTTTTAAAAACGATTTTTAAAATTGATATTTTAGAGAGAGAAGAAGAGACAGGGAGAGAAACATTGATGTGAGAGGGAAACATCAATCAGCTGCCTCCTGCACAACTCTTACTGGGGATTGAACCCACAACCTGGGCATGTGCCCTGACTGGGAAATGAACTGGCAACCAACTGAGCCACACCAGCCAGGGATTCTTTCATCATTTTAACCTGCTTGCAACTGAGGCAATGCCATCTCTTGTTTCTACATGAATCCTTGCTTTAAGACTGGGAAGGTCCAGCCTACAGGTCCCTGTTTTGCTAGCTTGTTGTCTTACGCATGGTAGGTGCTCAGAAAATGCTTGTGAAATGATTAATTGATAAACTAAGAGGTAGGGAATAATCATCCAAAATTAACACACTCATTTTGCTGAAAGGGAAGCATTCTCTAGGAAGACACTTCAGACAAGGTTGATCCTGCATAGTTATTGTACTCACTGCACTCCTCTGTGTGCCTACTCTCTCCTGTTACTTTTCTCTTCCCTTTTTACTTAAAAAATATTCTTCTCTTCTCACTCTAATTTTCTTCTACTTTTACTGATTCTTATGATTATATATTAAAATAGCCCGCCAGTGGCTCCTAGAGCCATGCTTGGTCTCACCGATGATGTCTGGTTTGCTCTGCTCTTGGGCATTCAGTTGTCAGGAATGGTTGAACTGATATGGCCTCATGAGGCTGCCTGTGGAAGTACTTTACTTTTACAGGATGGTAAGGCAGGGGAATCTGCTTTTTGCTGCAATGAATGATAGTGGAACAACAGGCTGTAACTCTGCACCAACTGGAAAAAAAAAAAAAAGAATACCAGGGAAACTAGAACCTTCCTGTGTGCTATTGGAATCCTCTTTTAGTCCCCAGGTATGGGAGGGAGTTTTCCCTTCCCTGTTTGTTAAATTGTTTCAGCAACAAATTGGTGGAGGCATCAAATGTTTGCACCTAGTAGTTAAATTGGCCATGTGTTTCCTGTTTTACCCTTGGGTCCAGTCGGTCCAGTCTGCTCTTTAGACAAACATAGATTAAAGAATGCTTTTGCAAAACTTAAAAATAACCACCAATAGTATTTAAAAGTAGGACATATAACTTTTAAAACACTGGAGAAAATAAAAAGAAACAAAACATAGTCCATATAACGAAAGACAGAAAACAAAGGAAGTCATAAAAAAGTACACTGAAGTTATAATATTAAATGAGGTAACAGAAAACCAAACATGGCAGTTACAATAATACATATAAATAGGATCACCTCTCTTCTAAAAGACATTTAAAAATTTAGAATAGCCCTGGCCAGTTTGCTCAGTGGTTAGAGCGTCAGCTTGTGAACCAATGAGTCACAGGTTCGGTTCTGGTCAAGGGCACGTACCTCAGTTGGGGTTCGTCCCCAGCCCTGGTTGGGTTGTGTGGGAGGCAACCAGTCAATCTGTCTCTCTCAAGTCAATGTTTCTCTCTCTCTCTCTCTCTCTCTCCCCCTCCCTCCCTTCCTCCCATTCTATCTGAAGATAAATGGAAAAATATCCTCGGGTGAGGATTAAAAAAAAAAAAAGAAATAACCCAGAGGGCTGAAAGACATGGGTTTACTAGGACTTATGTGTGCACAGAGGAGGGGTGCGGATGAAGTTTTTCCCACACCCTGACATTTCAGAACAAGATTATATAAAGTACAGAAAACAAAGCAGAACAGGGCATGCAGGAGGATGGGGATGTGCCTGGGCACAGGTTGTGTGAGATCAAAACACTAGCTGTTTTCCTGACAAGAGCTGGCAAGGCTCCCAAGGTCTCACAGTCCGATTACTGATGGCCTTCACCGTATTCCCACAGGGTGGGAGGGGAGTTGGAGCATGGGAATGGGCCCATGTCCTCACATACTATACACCTGTTTATGGTACCTTCCATGCGTTAGGAAATGCTCTGAAGCACTGATTCATTTCACCCTCTTAACAGCTTGTATTGAAATTCTGTGTTTGATCCTCCAGATTCACTCCACCGTTCACCTTGCTCTCTGCCCTGAAGGCTGACCTGCAGGCATTCCAAAAGCTTATTTCCACTGTGGGAACCTGGCTAAAAGTCACTGTTCTCTCAAAGTACCTTGATCCACATGACTCTTTCCCCTTCTGGGCTCTGGAAACCTCTCTTTCTTCTTTTCATTCCTTTGGGCACAAAGGTAGTAATGACTCTGCTGCTGCAAGCCCTAGGTTTCTGCATTGTCCCGTATGGGTTCCTGTCCCTGTGCAGGCGTTTGTAATTAGGCCTGATAAAAACAAACCCTCTTCAGGAGCATTTGAGATCTTGCTCCCAGCATATGTTGTCAGTTTGGCACAAATAAACTCTTATAAAAATAAAATAAAAAATAAAAACAAACCCTCCTCACATTATACTAATTTGATTGTAATATCAGTTTCCTTTAGGGACCCCAACTGATACACAATTCTATGTGATAATGACTATTGGTATTAGTATTTTTAATCCTCACCTAAGGATATGTTTTTATTGATTTGAGAGAAAGAGATATCAATGTGAGAGAGAAACATCAATCAGTTGCCTCCCGTATGCGCCCCTCGACCCAGGATCTAACCTGCAACTTAGGTATGTGCCATGACTGGGAATTGAACCACAACCTTTTGGTGTATGGAACTACATTCCAACTGAGCCACATGGCCAGGGCTGACTACTATTATTCTTTTGTAGCAGAGGAGGTAATTTGAGTCACAAAGAGATAAATAATTTCAAGATAACTTTATGTAGGACAATATGACCTAGCAATAAAAAACAGTTTTCATTCTCAGATAAGAATATCTTTCCCTAAGCAATGTAAAAAGAGATTTCCAATAATTAAGCTTCATATTTTCCAAGTGGAATCTCAGATGAAATATGCCAGAGGAACATGCTCTGTTTCTGCGGCGTGAATTGTCTGGAAAAGGTAGTCCACTGCGGGGGTTCTATAAAAGCCTATAGCCTTGAAAGCTGAGAGAAGCAATGCAGTTGGCTCTTCCTGTCTATTCAGATAATAGCCTGTGGCTCATCCCAAACCTTTTAACTCTTCCTCGGTAAGGACCCAGGAGTAGGTAAATTATATTTCAGGAGAAGTCATTAATATGGGATCTGTTCCATGAGGGAGAATGCCCCGACAGTGTTTGTCTCTAGGACCAAGGAGGGAGAAAGGGGGCAGAGAAACTGGTGTCATTTTCTTTGAATACAAAACACAACCAGTATTCTGAGAGCTAGGCTCTTCTTGGACTAGCTCATGTTGATCTAGTTGTAAAATGTTCTATGTAAATGGCTTAAGGAGAATTAAAATGAATCATCTTTAATTTAGAAGCCATCTGGACCATCCCACCTCTGTGGAAGCTGTTTTCTCTAGTTGAACAGGCCCCTTTCTAGTCCTTAAATAGTTGCTAGCTGTACTATTTCTCCTGTAGGTGGGACCCTCTATTTGGAGTACCTTTTACTTCAAATTTCATATTGCAGTTCACCTCCTTCGGGAAGCCTTTCTAAATTTCAATAATCTCTCATCCCATCTTCCCACAGCATGTAGTTTCCACCTCTATTATAGTATAGAGGAAGCTTTCTTATCTGATCTCTATGTAATTGAGACAGGCTAAGTAAGCCAGGACAAGTGAAATAGGGAAACTGAGACAGATACTAGTTAAATGGCAAGCAGTTTACAGCCATCTAGTAAATCTCAAAACCCTATCTTCCCTAACCAAGGACACTTAGGAGTAAATGGTTTACATGTCTCCTCCCCCAGCCAAAGGGTAAATAGCTTAAATCACCATACTCAGGGAGATAGATAGCAGAAATCCAATTAGTACTATTTGCTACCCAAGGACAGATGAAGTTAAGGGAATAAATCTCATTTTGGCATATCAGCAGAAAGCTGATAAATATTCTACTGAGACCCTTGTCTAAGACCTCCCCTGAACTCTCAGCCTTTAACAACCCTCAAAATGAAGGACCCAGTGTGTGCTCTCCCTCCCTGGAACATGCCCATGCCTTTCCCTTCCCACTCTTCCTCCTCCTCTGGCATGCATCTCCTAAACTCTAAGGGTCCCCACGAGACTTACAAGCAGAGGAGCAGTGGGCAGTGGCAGCTTATCCAGGGCTAACCCCCTGTACCTGTCTCCAAGGCCCCCTTTTTTCAAACTTCTCACTGAGCTAAGCAGCCCCACCGAGGCTCTCTCCTGTTGCTTCTGTCCTGAGCCCTTTCTTGTTTCACTGTCCCCAGCTTTAATAAATGTACTCTCATAATCACTTGGACTTGTGTTGTGAATAAAATTTTTTCTGCATGAAATCAAGAACCCACATACTACAGGCCGGCCAAAGGCAGACCCCCTCCAGGCCCCCAGTTCCTGTCTGGTAACAAAATCAGTTCTCACATTAACTGACACTTCATCGCTTCTGTAAAGCTTTCCAATGGAAGCTCCCAGCACATGGCAGCTGGAATGCTTCTCTCTAGTACACATGGGCTTATCACCTCTCACCTACTGAGTTGTATGCTTACCAAGTCTTTTCCTAAATGTCGTATACTATGCTTGTTCTAGTAATTTGTGATTTAATTAAACATTATATAAATGGATGGAATGGACTGAAGTTGCCTTTGAAAGTTTAGTTGAGCCCTGGCCAGCTGATTTAGTTGGTTAGAGCATCGTCCCAATATGCCAAGGTTGTGGATTTGATCCCTGGTCAGGGCACATACAAGAATCAACCAATAAATGTATAACTAAGTGGAACAACAAATTGATGTTTTGTTTTGTTTTGTTTTTCTCTCTCTCTCTAAAAAAATAATAATAAAAAAGTTTAGTTGAATGTTTTGGAAAGATTCAGTAAGGCAACTTTTAAAAAACATGTTAGTCAATTTCATGTGGGTGAAACCACTGTAAAATTTGGGAAAACTTTTCATAAAAACCCAGGCAGAGTCTGTATTAGTTTGCTTCACATCTGTGTTTATTCACTTTCAAGGCTGTGATCCTGGAGTGAGTTTTATGGTGAGTGTTATGTTAGTGCTCCAATGAGCAGGTCCATGCTTAATAAGAAGAGTTTGTGTTCTGACATTAGAATACTGGCACACATTACACATTTATATGTTATAAGTGAAAATAAAATTTTAAGTTGTGTGTGTATCATTTTTATGATTTCCTGCTTTAACCAATTTGCTCATTGACCCATTACTAGTTCCAATTGTAAAAGATAAAAAGGCTATTCCGATGCTTACAGTGTGGAGTACATAGGGCTATTATCATCAATGCATCTCTAATACTAGATTGTGAAATTTTGGAAAGCAGTAGCTCTGCCTTTTATATTTTTCACTTTTCCTGCATGGTACCTAGAACAGTGCTTTGCATTTATTCACTTATCAAACATTTACTGAGTGACTTACATTTACTGGACACACGCATTAGAGACACAGTCCTTTCCCTCAGGCAGTTCACGGCAATAAAGCTAAATGTTAAAAAGAATCACAAGTGTTGCCTGGCTGATGTGACTCAGTGGTTGAGTATCGACCCATACACCAAGAACTCGCCAGTTTGATTCCTGGTCAGGGCACATGCCCAGATTGTGGGCCCGATCCCCAGTGTGGGGCAAGCAGGAGGTAGCCAGTCAATGATCTCTCTCATGGATGTTTCTATCTCTCTCCCTCTCTCTTCTTCTCTCTCAAAAAATCAATAAAGAAAAAAATTCAGCCCGGGCTCAGCAGTTGGAGTGTCAGCCCGTGGACCAATGAGACCCAGGTTCGATTCCTGCCAAGGGCACATACCTTGGTTGCAGTTCTTCCCTGGCCCTGGTTGGGGTCACGTGGGAAGCAACCAGTTGATGTGTGTCTCTCGCACCAATGTTTCTCTCTCTCTCTTCCTCACTCCCTTCCTCCCTCCCTCCTAATCTGTCTAAAGATACATGGAAAAATGTCCTGGGGGTGAGGATTTAAAAAAAGAAAAGAATCATAAGAATTAAGGTAATGGAATGTATAGATGTTATGGCTGTGTGGAGGATAGGCACACTGACCAGAGAAGGCTTAATGGAGCAGGTACCTCTTGAACTAGGTTTTAAAAATCAAGTAAGATTTTGCTAGATAAAGAGAGGATGAGAGAAAAATGAGTTGGAACAACATGTGTGAGAAGAAAAAATTTTAAAAAAGACATAGGGGTCATGGCGTGTTCAGTGAATTACAGGAAGTTTTGTGTGACCAGAGCATAGGATTCCAAGGAATTTAGATTCTATCCTCAGGGCCACAGGAGCCATTCATTTATATTAGGCATGTAATAATTGAATGAACTAACAGCATACTTATCATTGCAAAAGAAGAATAATTTTAACACAAAGCCGACCTCTACTATATCTAAACCAGATAAATGCTACTCGCTCATTTGTAGGTCTCTCCAATTTTCTCAGTCTCCATTACCCCCATGACCCTTCATCCCAGTCTGCTGGAGTTTCAGTAACAGACAGCTAGCTAAACCAGACCCGTTGGAAGTGAGTATTAGCTTGTGTAACGTCTGGTTCTTTTGCTTTTTCTAGGAGTATATGTGTATGATGGGACTGCACAACTGGCAACACTGGGTTGCTTGGTTCATTATATTCTTCATTTCTGCCTTCATTGTTGTTTCTTTCATGACCATTCTCTTCTGTACAAAGGTATGTGTCTCTTATCCTTCAGCATGTGCTTAAGCCACGAGAAGGTGGGAAAGAAATTTGGTGTAGTATAGGTGGTGGTGCTGAGGTTCAATAGATGATGAAAACTCAGTTATTGATTAATACTTAGAAAACCTCAGGTCGATATGTGGCGGTATTTGCTAAAACTTTGGGGGAATTAAACATTTAAACTTTAGGATCTGAGAATGCATTGCCTCCCTTCAGTTCCTTGGTCTTCAACTATTGGCCTTGGGTGTGGTGAAAAGATAAGAACATTCTTTTATGCCCATGGTATCATGTTAATTTTTTTTTCTTTTATGCTGTCAATGGAATTTGGTGTTCCATTAGCTTCCATTTAATGACTAAATTATAACCCACTATGTAGAAAAATGAAAATATACCTTCTAAATTACTAAAATTGGGGTATTTTGAACAAAAGAAAGCAAGAAATTCTCCAGACTATATAAAAAATATAAATATATAAAACAAAGAAAATGGCTAGAAAGCATTAAAAAGAGGATACATAGATATCAAAAGAAATACGAGCCCTGGCCAGTTTTTCTCAATGGTTAGAGCATCAGCCTGCAGACTAGAGAGTTCTGGGTTCGGTTCCCGCTAAGGGCATATAACTTGGTTGTAGTTTGTCCCCACCCCGGTTGGGGTCGTGTGGGTGGCAACCAGTTGATGTGTTCTCTCTCGAACCAATGTTTTTCTCTCTCTCTCTCTCCCTCCCTCCCTCCCTCCTGCTCTATCTGAAGATAAATGCAAAAATGTCCTCGGATGAGGACAAAAAAAATTCACATTGGTCAGAAATTGAATTCCAGCTTATGCTTTTCTTTAAAAAGATACATATACAGAGCATAATTTGTAAATGGTAATGGAAGCTGGATCAAAGGTCTGCCTTAAAAATCTCTATATATTATTTAGTTTAAGGTAATCTTGTTATTTGCCCTGGCTGGTTTACTCAGTGGTTAGAGCGTTGGCCCATGGACTGAAGAATCCTGGGTTCAGTGCCCACTAAGGGCATGTACCTCAGTTACAGTTTGTCCCCAGCCCCGGTTGGGGTCGTGTGGGTGTCAACCAGTCGTTGTGTCTCTCTCGCATCGATGTTTCTCTCTCTCTCTTCTTCCCTCTCTCCCTCCTGCTCTATCTGAAGATAAATGCAAAAATGTCCTTGGGTGAGGATAAACAATAAGATAAAATAAAAAGATAATCTTGTTTTTTAAAAAATTCACATATTGTTTTAAGGGCATTTTATGCCTTCTCCTCATTCTTTCCATGTAAAAATTATGTGCATCTGTGATTGTTTTGTAGGTAAACAAAAAAGCAGTGTTCATGAACAGTGACCCTAGTTTGATATTTGTTTTTCTAATGTGTTTTGCCATTGCCACAATTTTCTTTGCATTCATGATCAGCACATTCTTCCAGAGAGGTGAGTCCAGATACAATTTTCTGTTAGAAAGTGTGTTTATAACTCCTTTTTCTGATACCATTGCTATTCCCATTATCTACAACATTACTATTCGTCCAGAGTCAAGTCTTTACTTTTATGGTTATTTTAGCAATGGAATAATTCTTTTCCCAATTAAGAACTTATGGAAACATCTCCATATATGTATTATTTTTGTGTTTCATTTGGCTTCTAAACATCATTTCTAAAGCATACAAACACTAAGTCCCAACATGGAAAAAAATGAAGGCTAACACATCCAGGGCAGATAGTTTTCCAGGTCTTGATAATAAAATCAGGGCATAACAGTAGTGTGGCTTCTAAGACACCATAGTAAGAGAATAATTCCTGAAAAATTGGTTCTGTCAGGAAAGGTATTATCTCTAAAACTATTGGTAGAATTGATGAACCACAAGGGACAAAAGTAATGGTAAGTGATGTTAAAGTCAGAGTGCAGAATTGATTTGTGGTTCAACCTGGAGAGGTAAAGACAGAAACATTAATAGAAGACAGATCTTCAGCAGTTGGGGATAATAAAAAAGAGGGTTTAAGAATCTTGGGCAAAAAGCAAAGTGTGAAATAAATGAAGCCAGGCAGTTTATTATTTACATTTGTGAATATTTTATATCAAATAGTACAGTCATCCCTCGCCACTTCATGCTTCGACTTTCATGGCTTCACTCTATCGTGGGTTTTTCAAATATATTCATTAAAAAGTTGATCAAGTCAGTGATAATACCCTGGCCGGTTTGGCTCAGCGGTTAGAGCATCGGCCTGCGGTCCTGAGAGACCCGGGTTCGGTTCCCGCTAAGGGCGCGTGCCTCGGTTGCAGTTTGTCCCCGGCTCTGGTCAGTTGTGCGGGTGGCAGCCACTCGATGTGTTCCTTTCACGTCGATGTTTCTCTCTCTCTCTCTGTTCCTCTCTCTCCCTCCCACTCTACCTGAACAAAAAATGGAAAAATGTCCTCGGGTGAGGATAAGACAGTGATAATGATACAGTGTGTGCTCGGTTGTCTGAGTCAACTATACACCCCTGTATTTCAATTAAAATTAAAATTACTGTACATATTGACTGTAGGCTTATGTATTCGAGCACCCCTGCAAATCCTTCAATGCCAGGTGCAACTGCTCGACCACTCCTTGTGTGTTGGCAATAACTTTTTTCCAAAAAAGTGGGTGTGATGAAACCAAGCCAATCAGAGCATGCTGTTCACTGATTGGCTATCCTATCCTCTTCCTATCCTGGCCACTGATTGGCTCAGCCTCATGCAAGTTTGTTTCTCTCATACATATTCAATTTATAAATAAAGAACCCTACTTCGGGAAAATTCATTTATTGCAGAAGAGTCTGGAACTGATTAACTGTGATAAGCGAGGGCTGACTGTATGTTCTACCAAGATGGGGATGGAGCCCTGGCTGGTTTGGCTCAGCGGTTAGAGCGTCGGCCTGCGGTCCGGAGAGACCAGGGTTCGGTTCCCGCTAAGGGCACGTACCTCGGTTGCAGTTTGTCCCCGGCCCTGGTTGGTCGTGCGGGTGGCAGCCACTCGATGTGTCCCTTTCACATCGATGTTTCTCTCTCTCTCTCTCTCCCTCCTGCTCTATCTGAACAAAGAATGAAAAAGTGTCCTCGGGTGAGGATAAAAAATAAAATTAAAAAAAATTTACCCATTTTGCCCTGGCCGGTTTGGCTCAGCGGTTAGAGCGTCCGCCTGTAGTCCCGAGAGACCCGGGTTCGGTTCCCGCTAAGGGCATGTACCTCGGTTGCAGTTTGTCCCCGGCCCTGGTCGGTCGTGCGGGTGGCAGCCACTCGATGTGTCCCTTTCACATCGATGTTTCTCTCTCTCTCTCTTCCTCCCACTCTACCTGAACAAAAAAGTGTCCTCAGGTGAGGATTAAAAAATAATAATAATAAATAAATAAATAAATAAAAAAGATGGGGATGGAGTCCTTGAGAGGTTGAATGGGCCTGAATACTATTTCTTGTTTCAAACTCTAAACTTAATTTCCCACTTCTCTCTCTTTAACTTTAGGGAGAACATGGCAGGGGTAATGATCATGTAAGAAAATTATGTGGGGAGCCAGGAGTATGAGTATCAAAGGTTGAAACCTAAAAAGTTGAACTTGTAGTCAAATACAAGAACTAAGCACAGGGCTGTATTAAGAGACAAAACCAGATTAAAAGTATAGTAAATCAGAACCAGAGTGGGAAGCAAAGAGCAGGAAAAAGTGCCAAGTGAAAGCAAAAATACACCACACAACTCAAAGTTAATGATCAATTGATTTTTTTTTTTTTATCTATCCTCACCCGAGGACATTTTCCCACTTTTTGTACAGATAGAGTGGGAGGGAGAGAGAGGAAGAGAGAGAGAGGGAAACATCGATGTGAAAGGGACACATCGAGTGGCTGCCACCCGCACGACCAACCAGGCCGGGGACAATCTGCAACCGAGGTACATGCCCCTAGCGGGAACTGAACCTGGGTCTCTCCGGACCGCAGGTGGACGCTCCAACCGCTGAGCCAAACCGGCCAGGGCTGATCAATTGATTTTTAACAAAGAGGCCAAGACAATTCAGCAGTCAAGGAATAGTCTTTTCAACAAATGGTGCTGGAACAATTGGATATTCACATACAAAAGAATAGAGTTGGACTTCTATATCACATCATGCACAAAAATGAACTCAAATTAGTTATAAACCTAAATGTAAGAACTGAAACTATAAGATTCCTCAAAGAAAATACAGGAGAAATCTTCATGATCTTGAGTTACACAGTGATTTCTTAGATATGACGCCAAAAGCACAAGTGATAAAAGAGAAGATTGATAAGTTGGACTTCATCAATATTAAAAAAATTTGTGTTTCAAAGGATACCATCAAGAAAGTGAAAAGACAACCTACAGACTGGGAGACAACATTTGCAAATAATATATAACATAAGAGACTTGTATCTAGAATAAATAAAATGAGCTTTACAACTCAAAAATAAAAACACAAACATTCCTAACTCATTGTATAGGCCAACACTTCTTTGATGCCAAAACCAGTAAAGTCATCACAATTAAACCACAGACTAATATCCCTTATGAATGTAGATGGAAAAAATCTTCAACAAAATACTAGCAAACCAAATCCAGCAGTAAATGAAAACAACTATACATTATTCCAAGTGGGATTTATCCCAGAAATGCAAAAAGAATTCAACACATGAAAAGCAACCAATGTAATTCACCACTTAGTAGAATAAAGAAAAAAAACAATTTTTTTTCAATTTTATTGATATTGAAAAGCATTTGGCAAATTTAATAACTTTTATGGTAAAAAAATTGACAAACAAGAATATAACAAAACTTTCTGAACCAGATAGTGAGCATTTATGAACACTGCACAGCTAGCATCATATTCAGTGGTGAAAGACTGAAAGCCTTTTCCCTAAGAGCAGAAACAAGACAAAGATGTCTACTTTTCCTTCTGCAATTCAACATTGTACTGAAGTGACTCGTCCTGCAGGTCGAGCAACGAGGACTCTAGAGGGGGAGTGAGGATGAGGAGGGACAAGAGAGATGAAGACAAGACAGGATTCTGATCAAGTCTCGTTTATTCAGGGGTAATTCACACAATATATAGGGCAAGAAGCACCTTTTGCCAAGCACCAAGCTTGCCCGAAGCAATTCCAGGAAATACCACAAAAGGAACAAAAGGTCAGCAAAGACTGGCTTGTTGAGTAAATGGTTACTTAAAGAAATGCAAAATGCAGAGATAAAGAAATGCAGAAGGCAGAGATATCCTGTCTTGGGGAAGGTGATGGCAGAGCAGATTTTAACAAAATTGATGCCATGCAAAAAGTCTCCCACACTGAAGGTTCAAACCAGAGAAAATAGGAAAGAAAAAGAAATAAAAGGCATGCAATTGGAGTGAAAGAGGTAAAACTATTCAAAGATGACGTGATCTTTAATAGAGAGAATCCTAAATTATCCACAAAAGTTACTATTAGAGCTATTAAAGAAATTCAGCAAATTTGCAGGAGACAAGATCAACACAAAATCAGTTGTATTTCTATACACTAGCAATAAGCATTCTGAAAAGGGATTCAAGAAAGCAATTTTACTTAAAATAGCACCCAAAGAAAAATACCTAGGAATAAATACCAAGGAGATGAAAGACTTGTATACTGAAAGCTACAAAACATTGCTGAAAGAAATCAAAGACAACAAATCAGTGGAAAGATATCCTGTATTCATGAATTGAAAGATTTACTATTGTTAAGATGGCAATATCCCTCAAAGTGATCTATAGATTCAATTCAACACCTATTAAAATCCCAGATGCCTTTCTTTGTTGTTGTTAATCCTCACATGAGGATATTTTCCACTGATTTTTAGAGAGAGTGGAAGAGAGGGAGGGAAAGGAAGAGAGAGAGAGAGAAACATTAATTTGAGAGAGACACATTGATTGGTTGCCTCCCGCACACGCCTCAACCAGGGCCAGGGCATTGAACCTGCAACCCAGGTATGTGCCCTTGACAAGGAATCAAACCAGTGACCCTTTGGTGTGTGAGCCAATGTTCTAACCACTGAGCAATCCCAGCCAGGGCCCAGCTGCTTTTTTTTTTTTTTCAGAAATGGACAGGCTAATTTAAAATTCATATGAAATTGGAAGGGGCCTCAAAAAGCCAAGCGATGTTGAAAAAGAACAAAGTTGGAGGTCTCATACTTCCTGATTTCAAACTAACTACAAAGCTACAGGGATGAAAAATGTATGGTACTAGCATAAAAGTATAGACATACAGAACAATTAATAGAATTCAGAGTCTAGAAATAAACACATATATCTAATGGCCAATTGAGTTTTGACAAGGATGCCAAGACCATTCTTTCCATGGAGGAAATCTTGAATGCTTGACACATAATACTAGCTTCATGACATTGATAAATTGTATTTAATATGACTAAGCCTTGGTTTTCTCCTCTGTCAAACACGAAGGTCATGAAGATAAAATAAGTTGCTGTATATCAAGTGCTTGCTACAGTGCCAGGCAATGCTATATAATCTACCACTCATCTCTGAAGAAGAGGACTTCATTGTAGGAGATAGTAATGCAGGTTTAGACAGAGGAAGTTTCAAGCAGTTAGATATTGGTACCTTTATATAAGGATTGACTCATTTTTTTTTAAGAGCCACAAATGCTCTTAGTCTTTGATAGTGAAAGTGGAACTATAAATGGTTTCTTTCAAAATTTCTTAAAAGATTGCTTCCCTTTTGAAATACTGAGATAAATGCAGAAATACTTTCTTTACCATGGCTGGCAAAAGAGTTTTTTGTCATACTTCTTTGTGCATTATTGATGAAACTCTTTTCATTCCTTCCCTTTGAATTTGCAGCCCATATTGCAACTGCCTTAGGAGGCATCATCTTCTTCTTCACTTACGTCCCGTATGTGTACCTCACTTTCAGCTACAACCAGAGGAGCCACTTCCAAAAGATTATCTTTTGTCTCCTCTCAAATGTTGCCATGGCACTGGGAGTCCGATTAATCTCCACATATGAGTCAAAAGGTAAGCCTTACCTTTCCCAAGGTAAGCTGCCATAGCTGACAGGCAAATCTGATCTTCATTTTCAAATACACATAACTAACATATTTCATTTAGTGTGCTGAACATGTTCAATACACTTACAACTCTGGTAAGTACTGTAGGGAACACTAAAGAGTTATAAGATATGGTTCACATTATACAACTTACAATGTAGTTTGGGAGAAAAACTAAAGCACATTGATGATTTAGGAAATTCTATGCCTGATTTATATAATTATATAGATATGAAATATATAGATTTATGATTAGAATTTCAGATAACACTTTAAAACTTTATAGATAACATAGTACTATTTAGAGATATCATATTTAATTCTCATAGCTTTTAGGATAGATCTAAGAAACCTTCCATCAGAAGTGTTCTAGCTCCCTTACAACTTCCACAGTTGTAGCCCAGTTGGTGTGGCTCAGTGGTTGAGCATCGACCCATGCACCAAGAGGTTACCGATTTGATTCTCAATCAGGGCACATGCTCAGGTTGTGGGTCTGATCCCCAACCTGAGCATGCAGGAAGCAGCCAATCGATGTTCCTTCTCATCGATGTTTCTACCTCTCCCTTCCTCTCTCTCTAAAATCAATAAAGAAAAAATTTTATTAAAAAAACTTTTACAGTTGTAATACAACCCCAAATTTTCATTTGTCTTAAAATTCTGGAGTTTGAAGAATTCTTCAGAACATCTACAATCATTGCAGCCAACATATCAATTGAAATGTAGGGACCACTGAGCTCTGTGGAGTTTTAGTACTTACAGAATGGACCTGTTTCACATTTCAGTAGTACTAAGATGAACTACTTCAGAAAGTGCCTTCATGGCTTGATGTTAGCATTTTATTTTGTTTTTTTAATTTATTTTAAAATTATAGTTGACATACATTATATTAGTTTCAGATGTACAACATAGTGATTAGACATTTATATATCTTATGAAGTAATCACCACAATAAGTCTAGTAACCATCATTTACTGGACATAGTTATTATGTTTCATTGACTATATTCTCTATGCTGTGCATTATATCCCCCTGATTTAATCAATGTTAGCTTTTATACTAGAGCTCTAGTTCCAAATGGTACAGCTTGGTTTAGCAGCAAATAGCAGGAATAGGAGATAGATATTGGATCTAGTTTGTGGATTTCCTTACCGTGACTGGGATAATCTTCAATGACCTGGTTAGAGGCATCACCTACCAATGAACTTCTTTGTTAAGTTAGGATAGTCTAAATGGGTTACGAGTGCTTAAAATGTAATAAAGGATGTTAAGTTGACCAGAATTTATTGAAAGTGAGGGATTTTCTTTAACAAAGCAATGATGAGACCACAGAATTTGTAAACACTCATAGAGGTTTGAAAATGGCATATGTGTACTTTATGGAGCCTATCTGTTGAAAGTTGAGGGAATTTGGGTGAGTACTTGGACTGGATGGTCCTCTTGGTTTGAAAGCACTCTGTCCTCGTTGAGCTTATGATTAGTGTTTTTTCCTGAAAGGCCAAGATAACTCACAAATGCAATGTCTACTATTATAGCTGAAGGACATGCAGATGCATATGTATATGATCATAAGCAGGTAGGAACTCAAAGCATATAACTGATGATGTTAGAAATCCAAGAACAATATTTCTTTTATAGAATCCTCATCCCTTCACTGTATTAAGTTCCCCTACTCATCTCACCTGTTTGCTCAAAGCAGATTGTAGGCCTTAGAGTGAGTGAACCAATGGAATTCCTCTGTACATTTTCTCAATAAGTCTAGTACAGAGTTTTCAGTTCAAATCTTGAGCAGAAATCAGCATCCACAACATAAAACAGAGCTCTGGGTTGGGGGTTAATGGACCCACTCTGTGGTTGTATGGCTGGAACATTTGGCCCCTTACAATCAGAACCTGCATATTTGTGGAGCAGCTAGTAGGATTTGTCACCGAAGACTCTCATTTATGGATTTATTTATTAATTTACTATTTACTAGATTGTTTTTAGTGTTTTTTTCCCCTTTGTTGATTAGAGAGAGAGGAAATGAGAGGGAGAGAGAGATAGAAACATTGATGAGAGAGGACATTGATTGGCCACCTCCTGCATGCCCCCACTGAGGATTTGGCCCACACTTGGGCATGTGTCCTGACCAGGAATCGAATCAGTGACCTGTTGGTCCATGGGTCGACGCTCAACCACTGGGCCACACCGACCGGACTAGATTGCTTTTAGTTTTAAAGAGGCCCAGTAAATAGTACCCATCTTTCCTCATTAATTTCTGAGCCAACTGAGAAATAAAATAAAGATGTCATCATATTAATACCAAAATATCCTTTTTATAAATTTCCACTGTTTTGCTTGTAGTGACTATTTTCCTTCATTTGGAACAGGCACAGGCATCCAGTGGAGGAACGTTGGCAGTGTAAGTGGAGAGTTTAATTTCACTCAGGTGCTGTTGATGCTACTACTGGACTCTTTCTTGTACAGCTTGGTGGCCTGGTACACGGAGTCTGTCTTCCCAGGGGTGTATGGTATAGCCAAGCCTTGGTACTTCATTATCATGGTGAGTACTAATCTGCTTTTTTATAGATTGACATTAGACTTTTTATAGCTTGTCATCAATATTTCTACACTTCTAAGTGGTATCCTGATTGAAATCTCAAACTCCAGAAAATCTAAGCTGTTTTTCTAATCTGGTTTTACCCCAAACCTGTCAGCTGTGGTTGCCAAGAGATCATAATTAACAGCAAGTATCAGTTTCTGTGACTTTTGCCCCATGGTGGATGCCTTCTGCAGAGTCCACCAAGAGTGCCTGTGGATATCTCACATGTACCCACATCCTGCCACAGGACACCACCCTGCACAGGCTAGAGCCCTCAGCACTCCACTGCCCCTCTCCTCTTTGGGCTGTTGGAATGGCCCTGGAGCTCTTTGAGACCTGTGTGACCCCAGGGTATTGGCAGAGGGCAGAGCTTTCTCTGAATCACTTCTCTCCTATGACGACTAACCTTTTCTTACAAAGTTGAGCTCATCATGCCTGATTCAGTCTTCCTGCCAGTCTCTGGTGGTCCTGCCCCACAGGTTTGCAAAGTGACTCATCCTGTCAGAATTACACAATACTCACTTCGGCCCTCTGCAAAGGCTGCCACGCTTACTCTTCTTGGAGTGTAGAGAAGTAGGTAGATTGTTAACGTCCTATATTTCTCCAGGCCTCAGCCTACAGGGACTCTGATTGCCAACATAATGGCTACCCCAGTACATCAGAAGCATGGATATGAGGCATCTTTTGTAGCTCCATCTTTGGGACCATGGGTTGTAGGGTGAAATGCAGTTTATTAGTAGTGAGTCCATGAGCAAATTGCTTGATTTCTCCGGGCACCATTAATATTTGATACCAGAGAACTTGAGTAGGGGTGAGGGGAGGTTATAGAGAATTTGATTTACCAAAATACTTTTCTTCCAAAAGGAGAGCCTCAGTTCACCTAAACATACTCATGTAAGTTGACTTCCTCTCTAGCCCTCCTACTGGCATGAAGTACCTTTATCTCTTACGCATTCAGTCTTGGGCATAGAAAATACTGAGGAAGCTATAAGAAGCAAGTTCATTCAGGAAGAGCCTACTGGTTTGACGAAGGGAATTGAACTCCAACATCTATACAAGGTATCAGCTCACATATCTCCTTCTAGGAACTTAAGAAGTAGTACACAGAGGCTTCTTTGTTTTTGTTTGTTTGTTTGTTTTTTCCATTGATATTTAAAGAAAGGAAGAGGGCAGAGAGAAAGAAACATTGTTGTGAAAGAGAAACATCGATTGGCTGCCTCCTGCACGTGCCCCAACCAGGGACTGAACCCACAACCTGGGTATCTGCCTGACTGGGAATCAAACCCACTGTCTTTTGGTGTACGGGACAATGCTTCAACCAACTGAGCCACACCGGCCAGGGCCAGAGGCTTCTGTTTTATTCTGACAGTAGTACATTTTGTGATAGAGTTTTAAGTCCCTTCTGTAAAGTTATCCTCAAAATTTGGAACATAACATAAAATGTCCTATTTCCTGTTATAAAGTTAAATGGCTGGATGGAGGGTCTAGATGATCTCTCTGGGAACAGTGTCTTCCTATCCTTTTAATGCCAAACACCCTTGTTGGGGACACACTGGAACTCAGCCATTTGATGGCCAACTTTGTTCCACCAGCATTTTTACATAACCAAATCAAATCATAAACCAGATTTCACTGTTGGCTGCTAAATGTAGGTGTTTGTTCTCTCACAAGTGTTTTGCTGAGCATTTACTACATGCAGAGCCCTGTGTTGACTAAGAATGCCCATGGTATCATGCCTGGGTGTAAGCTCTGTGCTTACACCCATTGATTGTTTTTTTTAAGAGAGTGGAAGGGATGGAGGGAGGGAGGGGGAGAGAGGGAGAGAGAAACATCAATGTGAGAGAGACACATGGATTGGTTGTATCTCACAAGACCCTGACTGGGGTTAGGGATGAACCTGCAACGCACAGATGGTGCCCTTGACCAAACTGAACCCCAGACCCTTTGGTCAGAGGGCCAACACTCTAACTCAGTAGTTCTCAACTTTCCTAATGCTGAGACCCTTTAATACAGTTCCTCATGTTGTGGTGACCCCCAACCATTAAACTATTTTCGTTGCTACTTCATAACTGTAATTTTGTTACTGTTATGTCTTTTTTATTTATTTATTTGTTCAGGTAGAGTGGGAGGGAGAGAGAGGAACAGAGAGAGAGAGAGAAACATCAATGTGAAAGGAACACATCAAGTGGCTGCCACCCGCACGACCAACCAGGGCCGGGGACAAACTGCAACCGAGGTACGTGCCCTTAGCGGGAACCGAACCCGGGTCTCTCAGGACCGCAGACCGACGCTCTAACCGCTGAGCCAAACCGGCCAGGGCTGTTACTGTTATGTCTTAAGCGACCCCTGTGAAAGGATCATTCAACCCCCAAAGGGGTTGCGACCCACAGGTTGAGAACTGCTGCTCTAACCATTGAGCAAAATTGGCTAGGACATTATTTTTTGTTTGGAGTCTTCCATTCTTTAAATATTATGAGCCTAAGCAGAGGCAGTGTACTCTGTACCGTTGATGCTGCATAGTCATAGTTGAGTTTCTGGCTCAACACTTTGTATCGCCTTCCTCTGCCTGTGAAATCAAGTGGATCACATGGTAGCCCAGAGGATTTATGACATCAGTGACCGTTCAAGCTCTTTCATGAACTGTAGTAGCAGCTAGGAATGCTCAAGTCTTTACCCAATTTACTGTGGCTTCAATAAGCAAGGATTGCATTTTTTTTTTTTTTTTTTCACATAACAAGTAGTATGCAGGCACATGGTTCTGGCATGATCAGCTGTTCAGTAAAGCTGTCCCAGGCCACAGCTCTTTCTGCTTGTTTGCTTTCATGTATTTTTCCTGGGCCATTAGAAGCATATTGGCCTTGATCAGCATGTTTATCGTTTCATGGTTACCAGACAGCTGCTGTAGCTTATATATAGGGAAAGATAGAGCCAAGGGCTTTCTTTCGGCAAGACCCTTCTTTCCTTCCTTCCTTCCTTCCTTCCTTCCTTCCTTCCTTCCTTCCTTCCTTCCTTCCTTCCTTCCTTCCTTCCTTCCTCCCTCCCTCCCTCCCTCCCTCCCTCCCTCCCTCCCTTCCTTCCTTCCTTCCTTCCTTCCTTCCTTCCTTCCTTCCTTCCTTCCTTCCTTCTTGTCCTTAGTAGATTACCCCTTATTCTTACTGCTTAGAATTCTGTCACATGTTCACATCTACTGCAAAAGAGAGACTAAAAGTCAATGAATGGGACTGTCATATTTGATTTAAAACAATCATGATCAAATAAATGAGGGGGAAGGGGAAATTTGCCAAAATTCTTTGGGTAATACCCTGCTTTCAAACATAATTCGATACATTGTGGGAAGAAGTGACATCTAAATCCCACTCAACTCTAGTGTCTGCACTACAGACTCAAGTCTAGCACAAATACCATTAGACAGGACAGAAATTGTCTATGACATATACTGAAATGTGAGGTTATCTCTTAGGGTGGTATTATGATTATTTTATTTTCTTCCTTATACTCTTTTTTTTTTCTTTTTTATTCTCACCCAAGGACATTTTTGCACTTAACATCACATAGAGTGATGGGGAGAGAAGAAGGAAGAGAGAGAGAGAGAAACATCGATATGAGAGAGAGAGAGAGAAACATCGATATGAGAGAGACACATCGAGTGGTTGCCACCCACACAACCCCAACCAGGCCGGGGACAAACTGCAACCGAGGTATGTGCCTGTAGCGGGAACTGAACTCAGATCTCTCTGGTCCATGGGTCGCCATACTAACCACTGAGCAAAACCGGCCAGGGCTCTTCCTTATACTCTTATGTATGAATTACTTGTATAATAAGATACAAAAAATGGTATTTGAAATGCTGGAGACAGTTGATTCAGAAAACAGGCTGCAATGTCCAGAATCCTCTACCTAGATTGACACCTCCCACAAAGGAGGCAGGACGCCCTTTCTCAGGTTTAGCCAGGCAATGCAGAGCAAGGTGTGGCTTTAGAAGCAGGGAGAAAATTCAATATTTAAGTTCTGAGCCCTTCATCCTTAAGCTCTGGTCTCTGTGGTTCAGGTTTTCTACTACCAGATCCCAGGGATCCAGGAAAACCCCTGGGATTGTTCCCTGTTAGGTTCCTCAATAGCTCCAAACAGTGACTAAGGTAAACTCTGAAAGAGGGTGTCCCTTTTAGATTTCCACTTGAATTTCGATAGGTGAACTTTCTAGGGGCTTGACCTGTCAGAGATTCTTCAGAAATGCCACATGTATATACATGTTATACTGTCAGTCACACTTTGATTTTTCAACAGGTGTTCTATAAGGGAAAGAATAAATACATGGCAGTCAAAAATCTGACCATGAATCTGTACCAGGGGCAGATCACTGTTCTCCTGGGTCACAACGGAGCAGGCAAAACTACCCTCTGCTACATGCTAACAGGTACGTGTGCAGAGTTAGCACTCCCGAAGAAGCTCTGAAGAAATCATAGGTCTAGATTTTTGGTCCCATTTCCCCTTATTACATTTCACCGACATTTTATTATTATAAATATTATTTTTAATCCTTACCCGAGGATATTTTTCCATTTTTGTTCAGACAGAGTGGGAGGGAGAGAGAGAGAAACATTGACGTGAGACACATCAATTAGTTGCCCCTGACAAACCGCAATCAAGGTATGTGCCCTTGACCAAAATCGAACTTGCTACTCATTGGTCCACAGGCCAACGCTCTAAACTCTGAGCCAAACCAAGCCAGGGCAGATTTCACTATCATTTTAATATTAAGCATATTTTTGGTTTGTTGTTTGTTTTTTTACCATCTGTGTAGTATCTGGTTGTTCACATTACCATGTACCAGGAGAAGGATATCTTTGGCTCTCTCAGTCAGTCTGAGCAACTTAATCTTATACACAATCAAGAAGCTGTGAACACTGCTTAGCACGTTTCTTTCCAGACAGAACTTTCCGGTACACTGAGGCACCACTAATCCCTCAACCAAAAAATCCATCCATTTGCTTATGATGGCCAGAGGCACTTTTATTTTCATTCATTCATTCATTCATTCATTCATTCATTCATTCATTCATTCATTTATTTTTGTTACAGATGTTTCTCCTTTTTTCCCTATTGACACCCTCTTTCCCATCCCCCTACCCCCCCGGCTTTGTTGTTCATGTCTCTTGGTTATGCGTACGTGCGTATAAGTTCTGTGGTTTAACTCTTCCCTCCCCCCACCAACCCATCTTCTGAGGGTTGTCAGTCAGTACCCTACTTCTATGTCTCTGGGTCTACCCTATTCCTCAGATCGTCATGTTCATTATATTCCACAAATAAGTGAGATCATGTGGTATTTGTCTTTTTCTACTTGGCTTGTTTAGCTTAGGATAACAGTTTCCAGGTCCCTCCAGGTCGTCTCAAAGGATAAGAGATCTTTCTTTCTTACAGCTGCATAGCACTCCATTGTGTATATGTACCACAGCTTTTTTATCCATTCGTCTACTGATGGACATTTGGGCTGTTTCCAGATCTTAGCTATTGTAAATAGTGCTGCTACGAACATGGGGGTACATATATTCTTTACAATTGGTGTTTCAGGCTTCTTAGGGTATATTCCTAGAAGTAGGATCACTGGGTTAAATGGCAATTCAATTTTTAATTTTTTGAGGTGACACCATAGAGTTTTCCATAGTGGTTGCACCAGTCTGCATTCCCACCAGCAGTGTACTAGAGTCCCCTTTTCTCTACACCCTCGCCAACACTTGTTGTTTGATGCTTTGTTGATGGTGGACATTCTGACAGGTGTGAAGATACCTCATTGTTGTTTTAATTTGCATCTCTCTGATGATTAGTGATGTTGAGCATTGCCTCATATGTCTCTTGGCCATTTGTATGTCCTGTTTGGAGTGGTGTCTATTTAGTTCCTCTGCCCATTTTTTAATGGGGTTCTTTGTCTTCCTTTTGTTGAGTTGTATGAGCACTCTATATATTTTGGAAATTAACCCCTTATTTGATGTATCATTGGCGATGATGCTCTCCCATACAGTGGGTTGCCTTTCCACTTTGATGGTTGTTTCTTTTACTGTGCAGAAACTTTTTAGTTTGATGTAGTCCCATGTGTTCATTTATTCCTTTGCTTCTGTTGCCTTAGGTGATGTATCAGTGAAAATTCTGCTGCTCATGATGTCCGAAATTTTGTTGCCTACATTTTCCTCTAGGATTTTTATGGATTCACGGGTCACATTTAAGTCTTTTATCCATTTTGAGTTTATTTTGGTGTATGGTGTAAGTTGATGGTCTAGTTTCATTTTGTTTGCATGTAGTTGTCCAATTTTCCCAAGACCATTTATTAAAGAGGCTGTCTTTACTCCATTGTATGCTCTTGCCCCCTTTGTCAAATATTAATTGAGCATAATGTCTTGGGTCTATTTCTGGCTTCTCTGTCCTGTTCCACTGGTCTATATGCCTATTCTTGTGCCAGTACCAGGCTGTTTTAATTACATTAGCTTTGTAGTATAACCTGATATCTGGTATTGTGATCCTGCCTACTTTGTCCTTTTTCAAGATTGCTGTGGCTATTTGGGACCTTTTTTGGTTCCATATGAACTTTTGAAGTATTTGTTCTAGTTCTGTGAAATATGTCATTGGTATATTAATGGGGATTGCATCGAATCTATAGATTGCTTTGGGTAGTATGGACATTTTAATGATGTTAATTCTTCCAATCCATGAACAAGGTATGTGCTTCCACTTTTTTTATGTGTTCCTCTATTTCTTTTTTCAATGTCCCATAATTTTCTGTAAATAGGTCCTTTACTTTTTTGTAAATAGGTCCTTTACTTCTTTGGTTAAGTTTGCCACAATGGCAAATGGGATTGTTTTTTTCAGTTTCTCTTTTTGTGAGTTCATCATTGGTGTATAAGAATGCCATTGATTTCTTGACATTAATTTTGTATCCTGCTACTTTGCCAAATTCATTTATTAAATCTAGTAGTTTTTTGATGGACTCTAGGGTTTTCTATGTATAATATCATGTCATCCACAAATAATGACAGTTTCACTTTCTCCTTTCCAATTTGGATTTCTTTTATTTTTACTTCATGTCTGATTGCTGTGGCTAAGACTTCCAGTACTATGTTAAATAAGAGTGGTGAAAGTGGGCATTCCTGTCTTGTTCCTGTTCTTAAGGGAAATGCTTTTAGTTTTTGCCCATTGAGTATGATGTTGGCTGTAGGTCTTTCATATATGTCCTTTATTATGTTGAGATATGATCCCTCTATTCCCAAATTGCTGAGCATTTTTATCAGAAATGGATGCTGCCCTGGCCAGTTTGGCTCAGCGGTTGAGCATCGGCCTGTGGATCAGAGTTCAGTTCCCGCTAGGGGCTTGTAACACTGAAAAAAAAAAAAAAAATATATATATATATATATATATATATATATGTATATATATAAGGATGCTGCATTTTGTCGAATGCTTTTTCAGCATCTATTGATATGATCATGTGTTTTTTATTCTTCATTTTATTTATGTGGTGTATCACATTTATTGATTTGTGAATATTGTACCAGCCTTGCATCCCTGGGATGAATCCCACTTGGTCATGGTGGATAATTTTTTTTGATGTATTGCTGGATTTGATATGCTAGTATTTTATTCAAGATTTTAGCATCTATGTTCTTCCGGGATATTGGCCTATAGTTTTGTTTCTTTGTAGTGTCTTTTTCTGGTTTTGGAAGTAGAATTATGCTGGCCTCATAAAACGAGTTTGGAAGTCTTCTTTCTTCTTGAATTTTTTAAAATAGTTTGAGGAAAATGGGTGTTAGTTCTTTGAATGTTCAGTAAAACTCTCCCATGAAGCCATCTGGTCCTGGGCTTTTGTTTGCTGGGAGAGTCTTGATTTCCTCTTCAGTTTCCTTAGTTGTTATTGGTCTGTTCAAATTCTCTATCTCTTCCCGGTCCGGTTTTGGGAGACTGTGTGTTTCTAGAAATTTGTCCATTTCCCTTAGATTGTTGAATTTGTTGCTATATAATTGTTCATAGGAGTTGTTAAAGATCTCTTGTATTTCTGTGGTATCAGTTGTTACTTCTCCTCTTTCATTTCTGATTTTGTGTATTTGGGTTCTCTCTCTTTGTTTCTTGGTGAGTCTAGCTAAAGGTCTACCAATCTTGTTTATTGTTTCGAAAAACCAGCTCTTTGTTTCCTTGATCCTTTGAATCGTTTTTTTGTTTGTTTGTTTGTTTTTTTGGTCTCTATATCATTTATTTCTGCTCTGATCTTTACTATTTCCTTCCTTCTACTTGCTCTGGGGTTTACTTTTTGTTTGCTTTCTAGTTCTTTAAGTTGTGAGGTTAGATAGTCTATTAGAAATTTTTCTTGTTTCCTGAGGTAGGCCTGTAGGGCTATGAATTTCCCTCTTAGAACTGCTTTTGCTGCATCCCATAGATTTTGTGTTGTTGTGTGTTTATTTTTACTGGTTTCCAGGAAGATTTTAATTTCTTCCTTGATCTCCTTGGTAACCCATTCATTGTTAAATAACATGCCATTTAGCCTCCATGTGTTGAAATATCTTTGCATGTTCTTGTTGCAATTGATTTCTAGTTTCATGCCATTGTGATCTGAGAAGATGCTTGATATGATTTCAATCTTCTTGAACTTGTAGACACTTACTTTGTGTCCTAACATTTATCTTTGAGAATGTCCCATGTGCACTTGAGAAGAATGTGAATTCTGTAGTTTTAGGGTGTAATTCTCTGTAGATACCTATTTTTTAAATCTTTATTATTGAATGTATTACAGATAGTCCTTATTTTTCCCTCATTGACCCTCTCCTCCCCACTCTTGCCCCCCCCGCCTTTTTCCACACTGTTGACTGTGTCCATTGGTTATGCATATAAGTTCTTTAATTTATTTCTTCCCATCCCCCAACCCCTCTCCTTTGAGGTTTGTCAGTCTAGTAACCAATTTGTATTTTTTAATCCCTTCACCTTTTTCACCCATTCCCCCAACCATGCTCCCATCTGGCAACTAACAAATTGTTCTCTGTATCTATGTGAATGTTTCTGTTCTGCCTGTTCATTTTGTTTGTAGATTCAATTGTCGATAGATATGTATTTATTGCTATTTTGTTTGTTCATATATTTTATCTTTTTCTTCAAAAAGACCCCTCATCATTTCATATAATAACGATTTGGTGGTTATGAACTCCTTTAACTTTTTTTTGTCTGGGAAACTCTTTATATGGCCATCGATTCTAAATGACATCTTTGCAGGATAGAGTAATCTTGGTTGTAGGTACTTGCTTTTCATCACTCTGAATATTTCTTGTCACTCCCTTCTAACCTGCAGTTTCTTTTGAGAAATCAGCTAACAGTCTTATGGGAACACCCTTGTAGGTAACTAATTGCTTTTCTCTTGCTGCTGTTAAGATTCCCTCTTTGTCT